CTGGACTGTGAGAGAATAAACTTCTCTTTGTTAAAGCCATCCACTTGTGGTATTTCTGTTATAGCAGCACTAGATGACTAAGACACCATGGAATATTACTCAGCCATAAAGAGAAATGAAGTCCTGACAGATGCTCCTACATGAATGAGCCTAAAAAAATTATGCTGAGTGAAATAAGTCAGTCAGAAAAGGACAGATACTGTCTGATCCCACTTACATGAAATGTCTGGAATAGGCAAGTATATGGAAATCAAAGTTTATTGGTGGTTACCAGGGGCAGGAGGGAGCGGGGAGGAGGACTCAGTACTTAGGGAACACTGAGCTTCTGTTAAGGGTGTTGGAAAAATGTGGGAACAGATAATGGTGATGGCTGAACAGCATGATGAATGTCATTAATGTCACTGAATTGTATGTGGGAAGATTTTTGAAGTAGCAAATGTTTTGTTACATATATATGTACCATAAATTTTTTAAATGCTAATTAAAAAAAAAAAACAGGTCGCTAGTCGCATAGTTGGTGAACTCCATGACCACATGGACCAGGTCAGAGCAGCCACGTCAGGCCAGCCTTGACCTGGCCCACCTTTGTTGCGAACATAGAAAGAACTGATCACCTGTCATTGTGTTCACCACCCGTCCCCACAACAGCCTGCAGAGTAGTTCTTATGTCTGTATTATGTATTGAAAACCTGAGGCTTAGAGACTACAAGACTTCTTCACGGTTGCAATTAGCAAGTGGCAAAGCTGCTCTTCAAAGATAGTTTGTCCTGACCCTGGAGACCACATTCTTTCCAAAATCCCAGGCTGCTATGTGTGGGCAGCCTGTTCTCTGAGGTCAGGCTGTGGCCAAGGGTACCGTGAGTCTCAGCAGGGGCATGGCCGTGGGGTCAGATCCCCACTCCGCCACTCACTGACTGCAGCATCAGGCAAGCAGCTCAATTTTGCTGACACTTTCGTCTTCCTGCTCTTTATAATTGTATCTCGGTTTACATCCTATACTATTCCAGAAAGAATGCAAGGCAATTTATAGTAAAGCACAGAATAAAACAAAAACAAACAGAAAAGGAAATGTAAATATGGAAGAAACAGAAGAAAGATAAAGGAAGTTATGGGCACAGAATGATGCTTTGGATGAGGCTAAATGAGCACACACCATAATCATCCTACTCTTGCTCACTGAGGACACCAGAGTGATAAAGCCACTTCCTGAAGCCGGTTCTTCTATTTTCCAGACAGATAATTGCAGATACTTTCCTTTGTCCAATAGTTGCGAAGCCTGCTACCCAGTAGTTGCTCGATAAATGGCTATTAAGCTGCTAAACGTTTATTGAATGTCCACTCTGGGTGCCCTGGTCTGCAAACCTGTTCCAGCACTTAACCTTTCCCACACGCACGCACATACAGCACATCCATATACTGCAGCCCACACACCCTGTCCTTTGCCAAGGAAAGGGAGCATATTCATGTTTAAGGTGATAGCTTAACTCCTGGAACTAAGACAAGGGTTACCGCAACTACAGTGAGGCTGGCATTTGCTAGCGACACCGGGATGCTTTGTGCAAACGGCACATGGCATTGCTTCCTGGGCTTGCCCCCTCCCTCCCTGTGGCATGCCCCAGCTAACAGCAGCTCACTGTTTCGTGCACCATAAACAGAGCCTCTAAGAAGACAGTGGCGGCAGTAACTCGGAAACCCGAGGTCTGGGTGTCCCCAAAAAGCAAATGCCTGTCTGCAGGACGGTGGATGCTTCCATCCCCTCTTGTCATCTCTCTCTCCTCCAGGGAGCAGAGGGAGGCACTGAAGGTAGATCTGATTAAATTCTAGAGAAAATCTGAAAGCTTCATTTAACTTAATTAGTTCTACCCCTTTCCCTCATTTTGCAAACAAGTCCCTGCACAGACTGGCTGCAGCTCTGCCTCTGCGGCTCCTCCCTGATGGGGCTGAGGCTTGGGTGCTTGTGGTCAGAACAGCAGCTGGATCTGGGCATCAGGGGGGTGGGAGAGGGAAGAGGTAGTGCATGGTGATCGAGCACGGGCATAGCATAGCATAGGGGTCAAGGGAACTGGGTTCTCTTTCCAACTCTGTAGCCAGCTGAGCACCCCTGGGGTGCAAGGTACTGTCTCTGAGCATCAGGAGCTTAAACATGATCGCTATGACTCCTGCATCTCCAGACTGACGCTCCTCAGTCCTGGAATCCACAGCCTAGGCCTGGGCACCATGCTGACTTTTCACATGGACGCTTCTGCCATATTTTGGATTTGGGGAGACTGAAGCGAGCCTGTTCTTAGGGTTTCTCCTGGGTTCTGTAGTTACACACTTCACCCCACCATTGATGTCACCTTGCAGATATGTGTGAGCAGGATCCAGGTCTTGGGCACCCTCAGGGAGACCGGAAGCCCTGGTGGCAGGCTGCTACCTCCTGGGAAAGGGCTCCTAAGCTTGCAAGTTCCCTTTCCTTCCTCTCTTTCATGTCAAGGCCAAGCCTACTGGCCCAGGACCAAGGTCAGCTTCTGCGGCATAAAACGAAGTAGGATAATGACAAAGTATTTTTCTCAAGGAGGCTGGCCAGGTGCCCCAACAGAGTACCCAAAGATTTGGTCATGTCCAAGGGTCCAGAGAAGCTCTGGCTCTAGGCATAGATGTGCACCAGCAACCTACATGGGAAGCTAAACCGACAAGTGCAAACTGAACACACTGTAATCAGTTCTGGAGGAGGGGTCCTGTGGCTTTGCTCTGGTTAGAACACTCCTGTCCCTGCAGTCTCTTCCTACCCCCAAAACCCCTGCCATTTGCTAGTATGAAGTCACCAGGAGGCTGATTTAATTCTCAGAAGATTCTTGGGAATCTGGATTCCCATCTGGGGAAGATGGGAAGAAGGCAGTAACAAGGGACTGTCTGTTCTCAGCAGTACAGGGCCGGGCCCCGTCCCAGCCCCAGGAGACAGCAGCCCTGTTGACCAGGAAGCTCCTGGCCCACAGTCAGCACCCCTCCCGCAATCATGTGCAGATGATTACCAGATAGTCTGCTTCTCTGACCCACACTGACTATTCTCACCTTGCAGATACATTTATCTTTAAAACTGGTTGTTAGGCCCTTGCCAGAGCTTATTAATTATTTACTTAATCTAGAATTATTGGGACTATCTGGCTAAAGCCTACTCATCCTTCAGGTTCAAGCGTCACCTCCTCTGGGAAGTTTCCCCTGGTCTCCCAGCCTGGCCAGGTGCTCTCCGCTGTCCCTCCCCCCAGCACCTGTGATATCCTTGCACATTCACATCACAGTGTCCACCTGTACTAAACGCCTTCACGGAAAGGGATCACATGTCCTCTTTTCATCACACTGCCTAGCACAGGGCCTAGCTCAGGTGGAGCACATAGATATCAGAGACATTTGATGAAGAAATGAGTTTTGCTGGCTCTCATCTCTAAGAGATGGTCACTCTCCACACCCTGGCACAAAGTCTCCCCGTGCTGTGGCGCGGCTTGCCTACCTCTGGGAGAAGAGGTCCCTGTAGGGGCTACCATGCTGCAGGGCGATGCCGTAGCCCTTGCTGCTGATGCTGTTGCCGATGACAGTCACAGAGCAGTCGTCATCTGTCAGGGCCGCGTACTCCACCACGGCCACATCCCACAGGAAGGCATAGTTCCCTTTCTTTGCCTGAAAGATCAAAATCATGTAAGGTCACCCAGCCAGCCTGCTGCATTAGTTCTGAGTGGTGAGGCATCTCGATGGTGGGACTTGAAGGGCCCGTCCTAAATTGTCCTCCAGCCTATCAGCCAGCCACAGCAAACTCTCCCCTTATTGTCCGGCCTACAATCTTACCACTGATGGAAGCCACTCATTTGTTTAGATATAAAAGGACATGGCACTGGCTCTGGTGGATTCTGGCTACAGAACATCTGACCAGAAAAAGGCAGAAAAGGAGAGTTGGAGGCTGCTCTAAGATGAGGCGTCTTGTCACAGAACCTGGATGCATTGTTCACATTGGCCAATCCACCCTGTGAGAGTGCAGAAAGTCCGACCCCAAGGGGGTGATGTAGGAAACGGTGCTTTTCAGGTCAAGGACATAGTGAGAGCATAACAGTAGGAGGGTTAGGGAGAGGGTCTCCCCTGGGAGACTGTGCCAAGGGCAAGGGGAGGATAACACTAAGGCAAACTTTATTCACTTAGGATTTCTACTTAGAACTTGACTGAGCTCTGCTATGGGTGAATGTGAGACAGGGCCACTGCTCTACCAGCCTCAATGGCCTAAACTTAATCTATGGCCTGCTCCCCGGCATTCACCCGATTTGCTCAACGACCTTGTAAGACATGACACCAGTGCTACCCATGGACTTTGGCTCAGGGAACCATCCAGCTATTACACCAAAGCCTCATTCCTCGGCCAGTCTATGAGTTAGAATCAATTCCATGGCTTTATTTTTTTAAGAACTCTGACCCAGGTTGCAAAATTACACACATCTCTCTCCCTCCACATGGGAAGATAACAGTCTTTGAAAAAAATTTCCCCCACTGGCAATCAAGTTTTCTCACTAAAAGACAGAAATTTTCAACCTCTTAGTAAACCAGTTTCTCATCAAAATGTTGAGTTATGACTGAATATTTGGTTTTACTTAGACTTTGCACCATTTCATATCCATGCTTGCAATTCCACATGACAACCGGACAGTGTTATCTGTACAATTTCTGAAGGGCATGTCATGTTAAATAAATAATTAAGATCAGGTTCATTTCTACCTTTCAAGTGATGTATAAGAAGGGGGAAAAATGAGCTAGCTCAGATCAAGTGGAAACTGATGCTATCTAAGGCCAGCTTGGACATTCTCATGGGGCACTTCGATTCTTTCAAGCCCATGCACTTGTGGCTTCTGCTTGGGCTTGGAGACTGGTGAGCACAGCTGCACTTACAGCACTGCTGGCCTGAGCTGAGAAGGCAGGAAACATACAGAAGGGAAGTTTCTGGCAATTTATCTGTCCTCAGATTTCCTGTGCTGCTAAGCAGCAAAAGAGAGGGGACAAGTAGAAGTTACGTTTCTTTGACCTACTGCATGGCCCCAGACACTCCATCTCCTCATTTGTAAGCAGGGGATGCATTTACTCTGCTATTTCTGCATATGTTTGAGGAAGCATGTGGCTGGACCCCTAGTCCATCTTCCAATGCCGGAGTCAGGAGGACCTGAAGAGGGATGTGAACGGAATCTACATCTTCCACTGCAGCAGGACCGGGCAGGTTCTACCTGACCTTGGATGAGCTAGTGTCCACACAAGCACATCTTGCTCTACGCTTAGGAGGTACTTTCCATTCCCAACACCATCCTCACTTCCTCAGCATCCCAGAGCTTCATAGCCCCCCACCTCCATTTCAAAGCCCCACTGCTGAGTAAAACGCAACACCAAGACCTCCCCTGGGCTTCCCAAACCCATTGGTTTCCAGGAAAACTTTCTGGATTTTGCAGATGCCCCATCTCCCAGTCTTCCCGGTATGCCACAGACTGTTTGAGACAGAAGGTCTCCTGGGTCTGCACAGACTTTCAAGAATATCTTATATTTCAGCTACAAGAAGTCAGATACACCACCCATTGCAGTTCATTCAGCTGTTTGTATGCCCCTTCTGACACCTTTTGCAGAATGAGCCTTATCCCCAAAAATTCTATGATGCAACTCTTCTTTGGAGGATCAGAACAGCTTTCCATGTGGCCCCTAATAATTATGAATCCACCTTCTTATTCTCTGCTGCTTGTCCAGAGGGCCTGACTTCCTCACCTGTGGGGATACCATACATGCTAAGGGTATTCACTGAGGACAGCCAAGCATCTCCTCTCTTTCCCTTCCCTCTCATCATAAACTCACCATCCCCTTCCTTGAATTTCAGAATTCCCCCACCCTCCTTAAGATCATTCTGCTCCTCATTCCCCTCTGTGAGCCAAGCTTTTTTTCTATTCTACAGTTTCATTGTCAGAGCATTTCTATTGCTCCTCCATTCTCCATTTCAGAGACATCTCACAATTTGAGATACCTGTAATTTCCTACTGATATCAGTTGCTCGTTGTGTTGATTTTATTTTTTTTTCCTGTCTCTTGGGAAGACAGAGTGTATTCAGGAATCTAGCATCCTCTTGACCTCCTCTCTGCTGTGTGCCACTGGCTGGTACCCACAGTGAGAGAAGCTTGAACACAGCCCCCTTCCTGTAAGCACTCTGGTGTCCTGGCCAGGTGACACAACATATCCTTAGAGTTTGATATTGTTGCCACTTGCTTCTCATATCAACTCATTCTTCATTGTACTTCCTGGTCTTGTCCCTTCCCTACTTCCCAGGTGGCAGTGGAGAGCTAGGGAGGACCTTATTTGAGAGCAGGCACTATAGGCAGAGAGGTGTTTACAAAGAGAAGGTTGACATTTATTTTATAATACCTAAAAGATACAAGGGATGCCTCAGATTGGTGAAGTCAATTAATATTTGACAGGGTGTTAATCCCTCCAGTGGGGAAATAATAGTCTCTTTAATAAATGGTGCTGGGGCAACTGGATTTCCACGTACAAAAGAATGAAGTTAGACCCATACCTCACACCATATACAAAAACTATCACAAAATGGATCAAATACCTAAATATATGACCTAAAACAATAAAATTCTTAGAAGAAAACATAGGGTAATGCTTCAGGACATAGTCTTCAACAATGAATCCTTAGATATGACACCAGAAACATAAGCAACAAAAGACAAAATAGATAAATGGGATCTCATAAAAATTAAAAACTCTGCACATCAAAAGATTTTATTAACTAAACAAAAATAAAATCTACACACTGGGAGAAAATTCTGGGGAGACATACATCATATAAGGGTTTAATATCCAGAATATATAGAACTCCTACAAGTTAAAAAAAAAAAAAAAAAAAAAAAAAAAAAAATCAAAAAATGGGCAAAGGACCTGAACAGACATTTCACAAATGAGGATACACAAATGTCCGACAAGCACATGAAAAGATGCTCCATGTCATCAGCCTGAACTCTTAATCACTGCCCCCCATTAGCCACTAGGGAGATGCAAATCAAAACCACAATGAGATACCACTTCACCCCTACTAGGATGCAAAGATCAAAGAAATGGAAAATATCAAATGTTGGCTAGGATATGTAGAAATCAGAACCCTCATCCATATCCATTGCTCGTGGGAATGCAAAATGATACAGTCACTGTGAAAACAGTTTGGTGATTCCTCAGAAAGTTAAACACAGAACTACCACATGACCCAGGAATCCCAATCCTAAGTATATACCCAAGAGACTTGAAAGCAGCAATGTAAACAGACACATGTACACCAATGTGCATTGCAGCACTATTCACAATAGCCAAAAGGTGTAAACAATGTCCATCAACAGGTGAATGGATAAACAAAATGTGGCATATACATACAATAGGATATTATTCCACTTTAAAGAGAAATGAAATCCTGATACATGTCACGACATAGATAAACCTTAAAAATATACTGAGGGAAGTAAGTCAATGACAAAAGGACAAATATTGTATGATCTCACTAATATGAAATACCTAGAATAGGCAAGGATCCCTGGTGGTGAAGTGGTTAAAAGCTCAAGCCGCTAACCAAAAGGCTGGCAGCTTGAATCCACCAGCCACTCATAAGAAACCCTCCAGGGCAGTTCTACTCTGTCCTATAGGGTCGCTATGAGTCAGAATAGACTCAACGGCAATTTTTTTTTTTTTTTTTTGGTGGAATAGGCAAACATATAGAGATCAGAGTTTGGATACCAGGGGCAGGAGGGAAGAGGTAAAGGGCTAATCATTATTTAGGAAGCAATGAGTTTCTGTTTATTGTGATGGAAAATTTGGCAGCAGATATTGGTGACAGTTGTGCAATGTGGTTGATGCAATTGGTGTAACTGAATTGCACATGTGAAAAATGGTGAATTGGCAAATGTTGTGTTATCTATATTTTAATAACAATAAAAAAAACGAAGCCGGACCAAAAAAAGAACAAAAAACAAACACTATATCTCACCTCTTTAAATTACCTTTAACAGACTTTTTGTCCAGGAGCTACTGATGGCATTTGCAGGCTACCTAAGCAAGTAGAAGTTTGAAAGTTAATATAGGCTAGAAGTATAATTTGAACACTTTCACAGTGTTTTGTTTTAATGGACGATATCTACTGTTTGTGAGCTTGTGGCAAAATGGGCAGAATGACTACTGACATCACAGAATAATGCAACCCTTTGGAAAGTAATGCACCAAATAATAACGTGAATATTTCAAAATGCTAATTATCATTTACTCTAAGAAATTGGAAATTTAACCTGAAAAGTAATCCAAATGTATGTAAATGATAAGGCAAATATTTAAAATCTAGAGTTGGCTATAAAGTAAAAATTGAAACAGTTTAAATATCTAATATTAAGGGAATAATTTAATAAATTATGGTACACCAATGTGATGGGTTTTATGCAACAGATAGTTATTATAAAGGCTATGCAGAAACACAAATACATACATATATGTATATATACATATTAATGAAAGCAGCAGAAAACTGTATGATGGATGCACTGTTGTTTCGTATACATGTGAAATGCAATATGCCAAAAGTTGACAGGATTGTTACACAATGGGGTAGGATTGGTGATGGTTCTTAC